TATTGTTCCTGATATTTGGTGATTGGGTCCAGCAAATGGATCGGAATCAAATTTGTTCAATTTAGAAAACTGTAGGTAGGGTCTTGTAAGGATATAGGAAAAACAGAATGCCCCTTCTCAGTGATCTTAGCAGGTACTGAATCTTAATGTCTACATCAAATCATTTACTGGAGGTTAAAACAGTAAGATTCTAACACTATCACTTCATTTTGAATTTTTAAGAGTACTTTTATAAAGAGATGTCTCCTTCCATCTACTATTTTGTTACTTGTGGAACAGTTAATAAGAAATTCAGGATTCTTGCTTAATTTTTCCCTTTATTAAACAATTTTCATGTCAATGAATTAGTTTCTATAATTTTCTGGAAATGTATGATTCTTCTCTATATCAATGTACTCACCGATATAAATAAGTTTGATCTGTTCAATCCATTGTAATTATAAAAGTTATTAGTGCTCAAATGGATTCATTTTGCTTAATGAAAGACTTAAAAGTTTGCTCTTCAATAACTTTAAATTGACTGCATCAGTCTTGATAGCTTACTTGCTGACTGATACAATAAGGTTTGCTAGGCTCAGCTGGCACACATCCTGTCTGAAATCCGCCTCCGCTAAATCTAGGTCACTTGAATGGAAAGTGGCATTTCAAGATGATAATCTTGATCTCATTGCTACTGCACTCATAGTTTGTATGTTTTTATAATGGAAAAAAATGTAGGAAATATTTACACGAAGGAAAGATATATATCTGAGCTCTGTCAACTATAAAGGAGTAGAAACAGTAACCAACTCAGCAGTACCTTCCTGAGTTTGTATTTATACCTATGATCAAACTTCAAGACTGAAGAAATTTTAATCAAATGATTGCCTATTGCATCATTTTTTTCTTTTCTCCACATGAAAATTCTGCTTTTGAAACAAAGAGGGAATAATAAATTAGAACAGCTGCTAATTATTAATTTTTATTAGTCTCCAAATACTAATAGTACCACCATTATGATTACTGAAATTAAATAAAGGAAGCCAGAAAGATTTCTTGAATCCTGCCTCACCCTAAAAATATAAAAAAACTAATTTCACTTGAAAATTGAAACTTAGAAATTTATTAAGCTTAAGTTCTATATGATGTTATAATAAGAAAAGAGATATTAAAGAACATAATCAAATACATGCACACAGATACAAAAAATAAGCCTGAACTCCAGCCTTGTTTTAATGGGTCTTAATTTCCAATTCCAAAGAAAAGAAGGTAAGAGTTCCAACTGTTTATTTACTATGCTAAATCATAAGCAGTGGTATTAGACTAAAAATAAATTGGAATTAAAATATTTGGAAAGGGATTTTTGAAACTAATGATATTCATGAAAAACTTTATTACTTACTGGCAAATCTAGAAAAATCAATTAAAAACTATAAGCAATAGTATGAATAATAATTATGTAGCTCAATAAAGTATAACATTCATATATAGAAAGTATATATGATCATATGTTTTATAATTCACTGACACAGTGAATCCTTTTCTTCCATGACCAATTTGATATCTGAAAAAATACATAATATAATATAACTGCTTTCAGACACTAAAAATAGGTAGCATAGACTGAGATTCCTACAAATCCCATAACATTCTTTTAAGACTACAGTGTAGGAAGGAATACAATTCTTATAGAAGAGGGTACTCTTTAGATTAAAAAGTACAATTTGAGTTGGGTACTAGTGATTTGAGTTCATTGAGAACAAGAAGGCTGAATTTTGCAGAACAAAGTATGAGAATGAATTTTAAAATTTGTACAAGAGTACCTTTGGTTGTAGCTGCATATCAAGCAACTCAGGTAAGGACAGAACTCTAAGGACAGAACAGAATACCTACCATGATCCGTATGTATTTTCCAGGGCTTACATGGGAATGAGAGATTTTCAGGTTCTTAACACCCGGACTAGAAATGTCTTACTGAACACTCTAGGAATTCATTAGAAGTTTAATTAGTAACCAAGGCCACTCTAGACCCACCATAGCAAAATTTAAATACAAATCTTTAAAGACAAAGTTGACATACTCAAATGTCTGATGGCAAAAAGTGACTATCACTGCTAAATGAAAACTGATAAAATCCTAGTACTTAATATCAGAAATTTTAAATTCCCAAGATCTAATAAAAAATTGTTAGACATCTAAAGGATCAAGAAAATTTGCTACCATCAAGAGGAAAATGAGTCAATTAGAATAAACCTAGAATTACAAATCTGAATTTCTTGAATAGGAGTTCAGTAAAGGTACTATAAATATGTTCAAATACTTTGAAGATAATGAAGAGAAAAATGTAAAGTATAAGAAAAATTTAATTTCTAGAACTGAAAAAGGCACTGGATGATCTTCATACTAGATTAGGCATTGAAGAAGAAAAGAAAGATGAACGTGAAGATCACAACAGAGTATCCCACCCGAAGAGCAGAGAGAACGCAGGTTGAAAAAGTTGAATAGATCCCAAGTGACCAAAGGAACAGTGTTAAGGGGTCACCATACCTATAATTGGAGTCACTGAAGATGGGAGGAAGAGAAAAAATAAACTAGAGAATGAAAACTTCAAATGCACATGTCCAAGAAGCTCAAACAAACCCAAGGAGAGGAAGAAGAAGCACCATTTTTATCTTTTTTATTTTTTCTGGTACTAGTGTTTAACTTAGAGCCTCACACTTAGCTAGACAGGGAGTTTACCACTTGAGCCACTCTACCAATACATCTTAATCAAATGTTTTGAAAGCTAGGATACAAAAAAACCTCTGAAAAGTGACCACAGAGGGAAAAAGGAGACATTCTAGCATAAACTATTACACAAATTGGCACTGCTTTCTAATCAGAAATAACGAGGCCAAAAGACAAAGCAAAATATCTTGAAAAGTGTCAAAAGAGATAAAAGTGAACCTAGAATTTGATCATATGAAGCTATCCCCCAGCTGATGATGGAAAAAAGACACTATCTGTTTTTTTTTATTATGTATCATATATTTGAGCATGGCTGAGGGAATAGATTTTAATTGTTCTTCCTCCCAGAAAAGTAAAAGTAAAAGTAGAGGTAATATGTATGATAAATAGCTCTATTTAGGCACTCCACAATGAGTACACATACACATACACACACACACACACACACACACACACACACACACACACACAAAGTGTTTCAGACAATCAAAATCTGAGGACTTCTGTTGTCAGTAGACCTCCAGTAAAGAAATATTGAAGAAAGACTTTCAGGCTGAAAGAAAGTGCTAACAAATAGAAACTCAGCTCTACACAAAGGAGAAAAGAAAACAAGAAAGAAAACATATGGACAATTTAAAAAAACTAAAAATATTCTTTATTATTTTTAAAGATATTTAAAATATAGTTGACTGCACCCAAAGGAGTGATTATTAGCTGAAATCACCACTCAGCATTCACCTTCCTCCTTTTCCTGCTTCTGCTCCCAACTGTCATTATACACAGAGAGCAGAAGCACACAGCTCACATTCAGACTTTACACAGGCTTTGAAGTTATTCATTTGTCCATATTTTCACACTTTCCTTCTTCATGCTTCTGTGAGCTTGTGGATAGCAAACCTTGCACTCAATTTCAACATATCTAATTAAAATAGTGCAACTAGTTTATGTCACTGACTCATTTGATTAGAGTAGCGCAAATGTTGGCTTAGAGGCAAGATGATGTTCTTCTTCTTGTGATTTTTTTTCCCTTGCCTTTATTCACATTTACAAAATGAAGACTCCTATAAGCATAGGAGATGCTAATCAATAGCAGGAGATATCTGGGTGGAAACAGAATGTGCACTCAGCACCCAGTGCTAGCTAAAAGTGCCATAAAGTGCTATTGTACATAATATTTCTAATAGCTGATTGTGAGCCAATGTAAAGAATTTTAAAAATAGATTCAAAGTAAAAATCATGGAATCGGGATGTACAAACAAGTACCAAGTGTTCTTCAGTTTCAAATCTGTCAATGTTTTGAAATCTGGCTAGTATTCCTGATAACTATTAGTAAACCAGTAATTCAAAATATGGCAAATAAAATAAACTTTATTTTGTATTTGGGTAACTTAGTTTTTAATAACACCATTTTAGATGAAGTACAGCATTCACTTCTGGAGTTCATAGGCTCTTGGAAAGACTAAAGCACCTGCAACTGGAGATGAAGGGCTCTGATAAGTCCAGATGTACTATGGATCATTCTGGGACTTTGCAGGAATGAATCACTTAATATCTGTGACTCTTGGTTTCTTTTCATCAAAAATGTGAGTTATGGACTAGATCAGTATTTCTAAAAATTTTGGGTTTCATGAAATAGCTAAAGAAGTTACTGAATCAATTTTGGGAAGTCAACATTTCTTTTGGAGTAAAAAATACCACAACTTTCATCTCTAATTAAAACATTTCATAATAATAAAGAACATTTAACAACAAAAGTTAGGAGGGCAAATTTAAAATAGGAGAATCTTTCATATTAAAAAAAATACAGCTTTAAGAAAAAATCCCTACTTTTTCCATTTCATTACAGACTGATAAAATTTTTTTAAAATATCTAAATCTTTCCAAGAACCTAGGCTTAAAAATTATTGCATTAAGTGCTTTCTATGAACTTTCAGCTACAATACTTTCATCTGTAGTTTTATTTTGATGCAGTATGTTAAACAAATGTAATTAACAGCTACATGGCCTTATATGAATTAAAAGTAATTTAATTAATGCAATGCAAATGAATGTATTACATTTTTAAGAATAGAAATATCTTCTAATGCTCGAAATAATACATTTTAATGCACATTAAAGAACTTTTCACAAAGTTCCTGTAGGAAATGATGATGCCCTTTGTGTCTATGAAAGTATCATTCTGGTTGCACAAACTCTAAAGAGACGTCTCACTGAAGTAACGCCAGTCTTTGTCTCGAGGGCCAAGAGTCATTTTGCAAATACGCAGTATCATTTCCCTAAACAGCTCAGGACCTAACTGCACTTCAGTTCCTCAGTTCTTCACTTTTACAGAAGCAGAAGCAGAGCTCTTGATGTTTTTTCTTTCTCTTTTCTACTTTTGCAAGCCTCTCTGAGAGAGTTTAGACAGCTTTTTGTTCCACCATGTGTAACACGGGCAGCGTTAATCGGTGATCTCTCGTCTTAGAGAGAAGAAATGGAAGCATCATTGGCTTTCTTTCCTCAACCAAACATGTGTGAGTCCAAAGAAAAAACTTTTTTCAAGTTAATACATGGTTCAGGAAAAGAAGAAACAAGCAAAGAGGCGAAAACCAGGTAAAAATATAAAATTTTCAGTCAGTCTTATAAAAACATGATAGGTAAATATCTGTTAACAGTTATTTTTGACATATTTGGTTGAAAATATATTGATTGCACTGTTGTAATTGGGAGAAAGTTTTTTTTAATTATTTATTAAGAGGAAACAACCCTTAAAGTACTTTTCATTTTTAAAACACTACACCAGTTTAGCCATAGAGAAGAAATAGAAAGAATATTTTTATTGGAATATGATCTCACATACTTGTCTGTTATTGAAATGGAAAAGAAATACATTTAACATATGCTATCTTAATTTCTCCACAAACATAATACCTAAATAGGATTTGCGAGTGACGAGGATATATTTGTGAGTGAGTAAGACATAAGTATTTGGCAGTTAAAACTTGTTTGGTAGACAGAAGAAGAAATTTTATACTAAAGTTACTGCCACTTTTTTTTGACAGAGCTAAGGAGAAAAGAAATAGGCTAAGTCTTCTCGTGCAGAAATCTGACTTACATGAAGAGACTCACTCCACTAGATCTGAGCCCTTGGACAAAGCAACGAGGTGAATAAGTTTTATCTGTAATTAAATGCTCAGGAAAGAAGAAATTGAGGATTTGAATTGTATTGGAAATTACACAGAAATGTATAGAAACTTAGAGATTTTATTTCAAGAAGCTAGGAATATTTCTAACTAAACCAATTTAATAACTTGAGTTAAATAATTACATAAATATTTGAAAGTCATCTTTAATAAGTTACATACTGTCAATTTTAAATATTTGACAATAAGCTGATGAAATATCATTAATTTGTTTTCACACCTCAATAGGCTTATGGAAAAAGTCTATCATCTCCTTAGAAGTTTGAAAAAATGCTTTATGAATGATAGCAAGTTAACACAATAGATATTATGTAATTTTTACCATTTGTTTAAGTCAAAGAAAGTAAAATGTTCTTATAGACTAGTTTAACACAAATTCTTCAAATTTGAATATGAACAATTAAAAATCCAAGACAATATTTCACTGTGTACATTATCACCAGCTCTAAAATATGTGTTGTTTTAAAATGTCACCTATTTTTTATTACTTTGAAACTTCATTAGCTAAATTTCCTGCATGTGTTAAAAATAATTGCAGCACATTGTGGTTAGAAGCTTCAAGGAAATTGCATTAGAGAGAGAGAGAGAGAGAGAGTTTGACTGAAAAATACTATTGCTTAGGTTTTTCGATTCGTTGAATTAAAAAGATACTTGACCTGATTTCTCTTGAGGTTTTTTTCAATGCTTTCTAACTTAATATATAATAAATTTCCTTAAAAATAAAGCAGTTCACATACCCATGAGAAAAAGTATAATCCTATTTTAACACACTGCTAAATAGGCAAAATCCAAAAGAAAATTGTATAATGTTTTTGAAGTTTCTAATGCTTCACTTTCATTATAGAAAAATCCAAGAAGAAACCCTGTGAAATATAACTGAAAAGAGCAACATGATAGCATATGTTCAAGCAGATTCATAAACAGACTTTCTGCACACTCCATTATAAAACATTTTGTTTCTCGAACAGAGTCTCCCCTGAAGAAGCAGTGAAATGGGGTGAATCATTTGACAAACTGCTTTCCCATAGAGGTTAGTGATATTTTCACCAAACAGTTTATTTCTTAATGGAAAATTAAACAAAGTATGCCTGTAATTATACAAAACAAGATGTCATAAAATTTTATATGATAGGCAATTTACAGTATTCTGAATTCCAGGTCAACAGAAGTAACTAAATAATAGAATATTCAGCTAATGGCAAACAATTTTTAAATATTCTCATTTTATTAAAAATTGCTTATTATTGAGTAAATATTATTTGTACTGTAGTTAACTTCTTTTTCTACTTACTTTTTCTAAATTTTGAAGAATTTCAGTTTTATTAAATCTTTGATTACAAATTATTCACATTATTTTCATTCTTAAATGATCAAAAAATTGAAGTTCTTTTGATTGCATTCAGGGAACGTAATGAAGATAGTTTTTCAAACAATCTTACAATTTTACATCTGTCTTAAAGAAGAATTTTGTACAAATGTTGGCAATCAGGTCTGTATTAGGGTAGTGCTTTGTGTATTAGACGGGGGATGAGGGTAAAATTAAGACTGCTCAACTCTTCAACACCACAAACTTGGGTTGGTGGTCAGTGTGGGTTAGAAGTCAGGTTGTCCAGATTGATACTCTTGAGTCTGTTTTACCTAAAGTGTTAGGCAAACAATATTTTGTTTTGAATCAGTCTATAATTTCTTCCAAAACCAACAATTTGTACTGAATAGGCAATGGAAAACCATGGGGATTATTTTTCCTTACTGAACTGGTCAGCTGAAAAAGCAACACTTTATCATTACCAAATATCTACACTTCTTCCAGACTATAGCTTTTGTTTGCTCCCCAGTATTTTCCTGTTTCTTAACCTTAATCTTTGAAACACCATCACTTCCCATCCCTTCCCCAGACCATTCCAACCTGAGGCTCAGACTACTCTACCTTCCACTTTAACCATACCCAGTCACCTTCACATCCTAAGGTTTTCACTGGAAGAACTGGTTCCTGTTCCAAGGAGAGCTGGAAACTGAACCCTTGTGATCAAACCTGAACTACCAAGCTCTATTTAATGAAACACCAACTTTTCTTATCTATCCTCATTTTCTATAGTTTCCCTTTCTTAATTGTCCAACATATATAAAGTCTTGGTGATCTGTTCCTGTTTACCTGACTTTACTGACAAAAGAACTCTATTTCTGCAGCCTGCTGAAAACTTTCTCTCTTCCAATGAATTAGATATCTGCCTTTCGATTGTGCCACTGACTCAGAGAAGGAAAATATTTGTAGGGAAATCAAGGCTTAGATTTAGGTAAAGATGCAGTCAATGAGACTGGACAGTATTGGTAAGAAAGGAAATTTGTGATGACAACATGTAACATAGTCCTCCTTCCTCCTTGTTTCACCCTAAAACTACTATCACTCCTTGTTTTGGGGAAGAATAACAAGAAGTTTTCGTCAATTACTCACTTTCCGTTATTCCTAGTAGACTATAATTGCTCAATTATTTAAATTCTTATCAAACATACATCATACTTGTCACATCCTGTCATTTTACTATTTTAATTGACACATAATTCTATGTATTTCTGTGGTACAGTGTGTTATATTGCTAAAAGTACACAATATATAGTGATCAAATCAGGGTAATTAGAATATGCATAATATCAAATATTTACCATTGGTTTTGGTTGGGAACATTCAAAATTCTTCTAGCATTTTTAAGATGTACAACAAATAATTGTTGTAATCATCTAACTGTACTAAAGAACATTAACAAGCATTCCTCCTACATAACTGTTATTGTTTTTCACCACTAACCTGCCTCTAGCTTCCTCAGATCCTTTTTTTTTGGTCTTTGGTAACCACTATACTACTCTCTACCTTTATGAGATAAACTTATAAGGCTTTCACGGGCTTCCACATATGAGTGAGATCACATAGTACTTGTCTTTATGTCTGACTTATTTAACATAATGCCCTCCCATTCCACCCATATTGCCACAAATGATAATACTATTTGATGGCTGTGTAAAACTCCATTCTGCATGTATGTTTGTGTGTGTCCATGTGTCTCTGTGTGTGTGTGTGTTTATTCATATAAATATTCTTCACCCATTTATCTGTTGATGGGCACTTAGATTGATTTCATTATCTTTGCAATTGTGAATAGGGCCATTCTCACTATCTTCCTACCATTATTTTAAGTCAGGCCCAGATCTGTTCTTAACAGATTTTCAACAACTTATATAAAACTTTCCTCCCCAATTCATGTTTAAAAAAATCATCTTTTTTTGTAAATCTTCTCTTATCAAACAATTTGGAAAATCACAATTCTATAGGAAGGAATAAGATACATTTTTTAATTGTGGATCCTCAAATCTAGCATGTACCCTGTAACATATTAAGTGGTCATACACCAAATCTAAATTTGTTACTGGAAAAAAGTATATTCCTGGGTTTTTTGGGATTTGAGCTGTTATTTTCTTCTATCATATAAATGGTTGTATAATCTTTGTGGAGCTGTCTAGCCATTCGGACTTTCAGCTTTCTCAATAATAGTGCAGATAAAGCTTTCAGCTCCAGCAGAGATGGGTTTGGTAGGATTAAATCACACCATGAATAGGGTACCAATACAAGTTAGACACTACACAAATGTCAATGGTGACTTCAACAGTGAGAAATAAGAATTGCCAGATCTAAAAATCATTTTCTGTTTCTAGTATCCTAACATCATCTCATGATCCAAGTGCTAATAGATTATATTGACCTCACAAAGAAAACTATGCTACTAGTATTATTTACTAAATTGACTATTTTTCATTGCAATATTAATTATATATTAAAGTACAAAGGTTAAAATAATTAGCTGATATATTCTCTTGATTAAATTCAATTCACTTTTACTGACTTGTTTGTAGAAGTAGAAAACAAACATATGTATATATGTTTATAAATGTATACATATAATATATATGCACACATATATTTTTAAAACAGAAAGATCCTGAACACACAAACATGCACACACATATTTCTAGAAACACCTTGCTGTGTCAAATTTTGTATACTTTTCCTTTGGTTAAATGTGTACGTTTTTCAAATTCTGTGTGCCATGTCTATATAAAAGAAAAATAAAGCTTGAATTAAATTTATTCAAATGGAAAACTAAATGATAAGTCAAGCAAAATACAATGGAAATGTGAATGTTTAGTTTGGCATAAACAATCAGTATTGAAGCCACTGGAGACTGATTCCCAGCAGCTTTGGGAGTGGAACATAGAATAGATAGCTTTTACTGTAGGTTTTAGGGAATTCATCAAAATTCACTAGCAAGGCAAAGAGAGAAAAGACCAGTGGAGCAGAGAACCAATATAGGGATGAGATGTTAAATAGTGTAGTGCATTTAGGGAATTAAAAACAAAGTAATTTCTTGTTGAGAAAAGTAATTTGAAAAAGAAAGAGTGGCTTAGGATGACAGATGAGACACATGAGACAAACAGAGAAGTCGTAGACTTTCATTGCACTCCACAGACATCAGAGTGCATTGAGATGCTTTGATGATTCTATTGTATTCGAATTCACATAGTTTAAATCTTTTAAACTAAAACACACAGGGAAGTAAAACCCACAGAAGTCTGAATATGGTACGAACTTTAATGTATCAGAATTGGTTCATTAACTGCAACACATGTACCATATCAATGGAGAATGGACTAGAGGTGTGGTTCAAGCTGTAGAGCATGTGTTTGCAAGTGTAAAACCCTGATTTCAAACACCAGTTCCACCAAAAAGAAAAGAAAGGATGATATCTAGGAAACCTCTACTATTTTCACAATTTCTGTAAATCTAAGTCTATTCTAAAATATTTATTTTAAAAATGAACTGAAAAATATTATACACTAAATTTTAACAAAATGAAATCCATCAATTACTTGTGCTCTCCATTTGTTTCTATACAAGTATTAGAAAACATTTTTCTATAATCCTTATTTAATGGCAAATTAATATGCAGGTATGAAATGAGTAAAAAAATATAGCTTAAAATGATATGTATAATTTAGTGATTTATAAATGATAATTACTCTAACATAAGATATTAATATATCAAAATCTAATATCAGACTCTTATCTGCCATCCATAATCCTTAATTTTAAATTCAGTCTTCCTTGGTCTTACCATTGACTGACTTTATAAAAGTAAATGTTATCACTGTGTACATATGAAATAATGCAAGTGAAATATATATGTACATTATACACACATTTGTGTAGTTTTGTGTACATATAGGCTTATGGTTCTGTGGAAAGCAACTCTGAAAGCAAAATGGTCCTGCTGAATAATAAATAACTGGCTAAATACTTTTTTAAATGCTATAGAATTTGCAACATGTCCTGTAAGCTTTAGAAAATGATTACATGAGATTAAATAGATGTATGCAAGAATTTAATAAGCAAAGAGAAAGGTCATTCTTGAGCAGAGAAAAAGGCATGGAAAAGGCCAGAGAAAGAAGAGATGTCATTGTCATCTAGTAAGCAAGCAGCTCACTTCCACTGAGTCAGAGAGTGATTAATAAAGATGCTTGGAAATCAAGTTGGCAGCAAACTTCAGGAGACTGCATTAGAAAGCTGCCATGGATGGAAAAGGAAAAACCCTATGAACTCCTACAAATGGAAACGTTACCCTTGAGGTAAGGACCATCCTGGAAGGAAAATGGATAAACTTAATGATTTGTTGTCCAGGAAGAAGATGAAGGAATAGGCAAGAAAGAAAAGGGATGAATCAGAGATCCCTGGATTTCATTTCTGTATCAATAGGAAGATACTGATTCCTGCTGTCGATGAAAAATAGAAATAGAAGGACAAGACCAAGACTTGAGAACAGGTCACAGGTCGCAGTTTGGACTTGTTTACCAGATGGGAGGCCTCGTCTGAAGTTTTACAGGGTTTTGTAGGTGACTTCCTAGAATGTGAGAGGGTGACTAATGTACAGACAGAGACATTCAATCTCACAGAGTTCATAACAGAGGATTTGAAAGAGAATGTTA